GTGCTCGGCGTCCGAAGCGGAGTTGTGTTTGTATGTAAGGCTCCAAAATACGGCTAGGGTGACCAGGGTAGTGACATCTCTGCAGTGAAATGACGAGAATGGAAGCAGAATTGTGGAAAAGGAGGGAACGGCTTCAAACGTCTGCTTTTGGTGGTAGCACTAAAGTTTTGGGATAAGGCAGCCTTACAGGTGGTGGCGTGCCTTAGCCCTCAGTGGTGTGTGTAAGGTCATTTACCGGTCTTCATAATAGTCTTTCAAGAGCTTATTAAGAAAAGTAAGTTGTCAGTTCGTGTTGTGATATGTTCACAGAACTGTGAAAGAGAGGTTTAAAAAAAAAAAGCGCCTTTATTCAGACCTGGATGTTGCATTCAAGTAACTCTATCAGGACCAAAGGGACCTCTCTGATTGCAAAACACTGACATGAGGAAAAGCCAACATTTTGCTCGTTTATGTTAGGCACAGCAAAGGCCTCGGTTCCCTTCTCGTGTGTTACTTGCCTTGGCTTTTCATTTTTTTGTTGGTTTGGGGTTTTTTTTCCTTCCTTAAGAGTAATTTATTTCTCATGTTTTAATATTTGGAGTATGGTTGGGTTTTTTGCTTGATCATAAGAGTTGGATAGAATGGGGATGACTTCTGCGTTCTCTTCTCCTTTTTGGTTTTTTTAGTACCCTGGAGTTTCAGAGTACTCGTGGGATACTTGTTCTTTTAGCAATGATCAAGGGGTGATTTCTTACATTCCTTGTTCTGTCTCGGTGCACAATGGGTATATACTGAATTGTACCCCTGCCAGCCTTTGCTTCTAGGCTGTAGCCATTGACCCATGTTAAAAGTTTAGTTAAGTCTCATGCTTTTCATTAGTGTTAGAACTTGTTAGTGCTGCTGTGGTGTCTGTAGACCTGTAGCTGTTGAGCTATTCTGATCTGTTGTTCTTGGTAATTTCTTACACTGCTTTTAGGGCTCCATTCTTATTTTTTTTAGCTTGCATAGAATTGTCTGCCCCGGACATATGGGTAGTACTAAAACCCTGAAAATACTGAGTTGTTATTGTTGCTTTAAACATCCGTTCAGTTCCTGGGGAAAAAGGTCTGGGCTGGTTTGGGATAGAAAAACATTCACTGTTTTGGGTTTGTATGTTGATGAAGGGGAAGGAGTATCCTTGTTCCACTTACATGTAACTTGTGGCAGAGCCAAAGGTCCAAGGCAGGACAAAGCAAACCATTCAAGGCTGTTGGAGGTGGCTGGGTTTTTTGTTCATTACCACACATACTGCTTTCTGTTCGAATCTGAGTTAATTGTGCAGCCTAGGCTGCAAGTTTAATTAGTTTTTTCTAGTGCTGATTTAGATTGGTATTTCTGAGGCTGGACTGTGAAGCCAAATACTCTTTGTATTGAAAAGTACAAGAAACAGTAGAGTTGTCACAAAAGGTGATGGCCAGAGTTGAAGGAGAAGCAGTTTGCACCTTGTCTTTTAAAGTAACGCTCCTTTTGAGAGCAAAATGCTGCCCACTTTATGTTCTTTAAATACTAAATGAACAGTCCAAGACTGACCTTAAAATAATTAGTATTTCGGTGCTTGGAGGAAATGACAGAAGGTGGAAATAAGTGACAGCAGTTGCAGGGAACTGTATGGGAGCTACAAAGTCCTGGCTCTAGAGCTGATTTGTGATTCTGACCTTGAGTGAGTCACTGGGTCTTTGTGTGGATTTCCTTACTTGCAGAGGAGGAGGGTGTCTGTGAGAAGATAGCGAAACAGCTTTAGTAAAACTTAGAGTAGTGAAGTGAGAGCTAGAATATGAAAATAGAAGTTTTCTCCCTTAACTGGCTTCTAAAAGTGATCAAAGGATTTTAGAGCATTGTGAGGACTGAAATGTGGATGGAAAATGCTTGGTAATATTTCAAGTGTTTGCGTGGCACAGAGTAGTGAGTGCAGTCTTGCTCGATTTACACTGCACAAGTGAGCACGAATCTGATTGTTCTTATGCTGAATCTTCTGCCAGGCTGAAGTGAATCTGATTAAATTCAAATAAGCTACAACTAAGAGCTGCTCTGAGTCCTAGGTGCTTTGTAAGAATCTGGCAGTTTGGTACTTTAGTGTTACGTTCTAGGATTTGGAAATTTGCTTTTTGTTAAGTGTTCTAAAGCATAATTTCAGTTATTTACCTGAAGCAAGCTAGAACAGCAAGTATTGGATAGTAACAAATTGCATGCAGTGTGATCGTTCCCAGTAGCTGTTGCACAGTGATATCCTGTAATGCTAACAGCTGTGCTAATTAGGTTGATCAAAGTGTGATTTGAGTGATAGAATTCATCTTTGCTCACTGCCAGAGAACAGTCCTAGTAGTGTTTTTCACAATGCTTGAGTTGATGATGATATCTGGAGGGAGGGAGATTATGGAATTGTAAGAGTGGGGGGAGACTGCAAGGTTGGGTAACCAGCAGCTGGTGTAAAAGTGCCACTCAGGTGCAGGGGATCAGCTTGTTGCTGCTTTAGCAGAGGAGGACTGAAGCTGAGGCTCTGGAGAAGTGTTGCTTTGTTTTCTTTCATAAACAGTTGATATGAGAATGTTCTAATAAATGGAAATATTTGCCTAAATTCTGTACGTATCTGATGTTACTCCTTGTGTCCTGATTTAAGATAACTAAAGCACCCATGAGTGTCCAGTGTAATCACAACTGTTAAGAATCTGTATGATTAGAAAAAATGTTTTTTTGAGTGGGTGGATCAGACTTGGAATCAATCACTTAAGCAATTCTGCATTTTTATAGGGAGGCAAACAAGCAGCATGTAAGATGTCAAAAATGTTTAGAGTTTGGACATTGGACGTATGAATGTACGGGGAAGAGGAAATACCTGCATAGACCTTCGAGGACAGCTCAATTGGCGAAAATTCTTAAAGAGAAGGAAAAGCGACTATTACTGCAACAAAGGTAAGATCGGCAGAATGAAAATGGCTGGTTTATTAATGAAAAGGTGACTTTGTATGTGGGTGGGAAAGATTGTGTTCTAGACCATTTTCTGTCATCTTTTCTTCTAGGCTGTGTGATGCTTGCTTAATATTAGTCATTTTGTATGTTAGGTGGAATGTGTACACTCAGATCCCACACAGCTGAAGTGTTGTTCATTAGCACTTGCTTGTCTGAAATACACTTACAACATTTTTGTCCTGTTTGAAACAAACAAAGTGCACAAAGCTGAAGTTCAAATAGTTGGAGCCTCTTTTGTAATGGAATACTGTTTCCCAAATTCCTCGGATACTTGGTTTCATGTGTTTATGTGCCAACACAAGCAGGTTGTAAATGTATTTACAACAAAGAAGCAATTCTTTCACTTCTGTTTAGGTTTGCTGTTAAGACTGTGCAGTTAAAACCTGGTTGTCTGGATGTGACCTGGCAGTGGAGCTGTGCTGATACAGCTCCTGTGTACTGCTCGTTACGAGCTGTAACAGTTACACAGGTGAATGACAGCTGGATTGTCAGGTGTTGTAACTCTCAAGCATAAAGTAAAACCATCTCACTGAATTGTGTATTTATTTCCCTTTTTGACAACCGAGGAAGTGAAAGATAACTGCAACTAAACAAGAAAAAATAGAAGCAAAACCCTGCATCTGTAACGTGATTGCCTTTCTACTTTGCTCTGTGAGTAGTCTTTAATGCTTCCCCCAAGGATAGTAATTGTTTTAACGAGCAACTCCAGATGACAAAGAGAAAATACTGATGTAGCACATTATTTTTCCATGAGATTCCTATGTATGGTGGCCTCTGTTCTGCCATTGCAACTCAAAATTAGTTACAGTACGTGGAGAGTTGTTGCATCAGCCCTGCTGAGGGACAGCATCATTTGTAGCCATCGCAGCCAAAACTGCTGAGGATTTGGGAAGGTACCCTCTGTCACTGTCACTTGCAGCTCGGTGTGTGGCTGTGGACCATTGCTGCTGCCAGGATGTGAGTTATGAAGGAGCGTTCACACCTTTGGCTCTGTTATCTTAATGGGGAAAGAAAATGGGTGGTGACCTCTGGCAGAAAGGTCTGATTTGGCTTTGTCATTCAGCTGAGGCAGCACCATGAATCAGAGTGCTGAAATACTGACTGAAGTGGAAGCCCATTAGCTTGTGTTAAGAGTGACATAAAATGTTTGATTTGGAAATTAATTTTGATCCAATGAGTAATCCTGAAGCATTTGGAATTCTGAAGTAATTCTGTTATCCCCTAGTATTGCAGATAAGAGTTTCTGCTCTAAAACTTGCTCCCTTTGGAGATAGAACTTGGACTTTTAACACCAAGATTGAGTTTAAGACTCAGATTATTTCCTTCTTCCTTTCCTGCCCTATTTCTGTTGAATTCTGCAGGCAAACACTGGAGGATGGTGAGTTGAAGGTGGAATTGCTTGTTGCCTGGCCACAGTGCCCGAGTCTGTGTATGGGATAATTTTATATAGGAGTTCAGGACCGTCCAGAGTTTGTAATGAATGGAGTTTTTTGAGCTGTAAGCCTTAACAGTGTGAGGGGTACGTGGTGTGAAAAGTATCATGAAAGGAAGACTAAGGAATCCGTAGATGGGAACAGTTTTTAATCGTGGTTAAATTTGGCTGGGTTCATACTGCTTATATAATCATAAGCTCTCTGAAACTCCTTAACTGTGCCATGAGGCATCCAGTTCCTTAGGTGCCAAAGCTACGCTTTCAAGGGTGAAGCTTTTTCTTCATGGAAATAACAACTTCCTAGGTCACACTCTTGCTTTTTCTATAGCTTGCTTTGGAAGGTTATTTCTTGTCTGCAGAGATGTTGGGTCTCCTACAGGTCTGCTTCCAAGTACTTGTGTCATCATCTTTAAAGGTCTAATAATGAATCATTAACCAGAAGGCAAACATAGTCTAATAAGGTTAATATTTACTATTTGACAACCGCATACAAGATTTTTCAGCATGAACTCATTTCAGCAGTTGTTCCAGGATCTTTATATTTGCCCAGCGTTGACTCCACGATTCTGATGGACGTTATGGAGCTCTCACTTACTGGTGTCAGTAGAGCCCACTGCTTGCCTGTCCTAGAGTAGGAGTTGGGAGGGGAGGAAAGGTGAGAAATTGCTCATTCCTTAGGGATGTCACCGCATTGAACCAAACCCGGGATGCCTGGGCCCTACTGATGGTTCTGAAGACTTTGTGGTGCCCCAGGGAAAACGACCAAGAGTCACAAACAAGACCTGTTTAATCTGCAGGGGTTTAAGCCCTCTCTGTTGGGTACTTCCATCGTGTAGTGAACTCCTGTACTTACCCATACGTCGAACACTAGAGGGAGGCATAGCAACGTGTGTTACTCACAGGCTGAATTGGGTCCTGTCTTCTGCAAGTTGCCTTGGGATCCAGTTCTCCTTACTCACAGTGACTTCTCTTGGCTGTGAAACACCTGGTTACCTATGGTAAAGGTACAAGGCCTTAATAATATAAATGTTAACAGCGTTCAGCAATGCAGGAGGGATTATAATTTGGTTTGAACCTTGAAGATCAGTGAATCTTCCTCTTGCCCACAGGAGATTGTGGAGAGTGTGGAAAACTCTGTAATTATAAAATTTTCATACCATAAGTGTGAAAATTTAAAAAAAAAATTGAGAACTCATTTTTCTGGCAAACAAATGGTATTGAGTACTTTTATTGAAATACAGTATAGTTTACCCTTAACGCTTTCTAACTTCTACCCTTTTCTGGAGTCTTTATCAACACACTGCCGTCTAACTCCTAAATGAAATATATTTGCAGTTTTCAGTTTTATTTCTGTGTATTTAAGATGGCTTCCAATAACATTTCAGTTGAGGAAGAGATATCCTCTTTCATGGAAGAGTGTACAGCTTCCTCATGTATCATGTTGGTGGGATGTGGTGAAGGGACTACTTTAATCATTCCAGTACATTCCAGGTTGACTTATGTGCTATATATCTGCAATGCATTGAGAAGAATGTGACTGGTACGTTTGCCTGAAAGAATTTTATTTTCTTTTAGAAAACCCAAAATAAATAAAGTCAGAAGTGAAGACTGTTTTTTTTTTTAAAAATCCCTTAGTGTTTTGTGAAAAGGAGACTTTCTTCTGTGTCACTTACCATTAAAACTTTCTGTGAGTGTCATTCCAGTACATTCCAGGTTGACTTATGTGCTATATATCTGCAATGCATTGAGAAGAATGTGACTGGTACGTTTGCCTGAAAGAATTTTATTTTCTTTTAGAAAACCCAAAATAAATAAAGTCAGAAGTGAAGACTGTTGTTTTTTTTTTTAAAAATCCCTTAGTGTTTTGTGAAAAGGAGACTTTCTTCTGTGTAACTTACCATTAAAACTTTGTGAGTGTTTGAGTACATGGGAATCTGAAAGACAAATAGCTGGAAAGTGTCAATATAAACAGATAGTTCTGTGTCTTTTTGTACTTGAGAGAAATGCGTGGTGAAAGCTACAGACTAGTTCAGTACTTTTATCCTTTGTTTCAGTCAGTTATTGCTAAATATGAGTACCCAGAACGGTATTTTGTATTCTTATCTCCTCTGCTTTTCCCATCCCAACGTATTGTGGTCTGTATAATGTAAAGAATAAAGAAGAGTACAGCACACTTAACACAGAAAATTAGAGCTGAACTGCTGCTTTTTTTAATTTCCTGATTTGTTGGAATTGTTGTTTTTCTGGTTTGAGTGGTGACTGAAAACAGATGCCAAATGAACTTTGTGTGGTGCGGCTCTGCTGATGGGATAGCAGTTTTCTAGTATTCAACTCAGCTCCGCTGTGCTGCTATTTATTTGACTTTCCTACTGCATTAATCAAAGCCATTGTTTTTCCTCCCTTTAATTAGCACTGGAGAAAGCACCGCAGAAAGGAAGACCAAGAAGAAAAGGTATGTGGGGATGGGTGACAACTTGGGCAGCTGTTTGGTGTGGGATCTTGCACTGGGTATTGCAGCAGGCGGTTTGGAAGGGATGTGGACGAAACCAACATTGCAAATAGAGTTTTGATTTTACTGCTTTTAGCCTGTTACAGGCATTTGTATGACAGACATTTGGAGAATTTCTGTTCCTCCCTGTCCAAAAACTAAATTCTTTGTGCTCTGCTTTTCTCCCTCCTGATTGTCCTATTGCTTCGTGATCTTGCTTTAGTAATAAAAATCTTCCTATTTCTGCCTCAGAGTTCATGAGGTGTGTTAAACAATTGTGCAAGAATGGTGTATTGTTTTCCAGTCTGCAATCATTCCACCTACCCATTTTGCTCTTCCTTTTGTTGTTTTCATTCCCTTCTCATAGCAGCTGTCTCTCTGTGAGGCTTTGTCTGGAGAATAAAATAAAGCATCTGAAAAAACCCAACCCTAAAACCAAACAAAATAAAAACCCAATCTCAGATGAGAACAAAATCCAGGAAGTACATCCCTCCTCCCCGTACTCATTTGAGCCAAGAACTCATTCTCTTTTGACGTTGTTTCTACTTGACTTTGCAGTAATGTTTGTTTGGGAATTTGCTTCTGTTTTTGTTAGCAAAACCGCTTCAGGAACAGGTAAAGCCCTGGCTGCAATATGCCTGTTGTGAGTTTTATTTACAGGGGGTGTTTGTGCAGCAATAGTTTAATTCTCTTCACATTTAGTTGACAGTTCTGGCTCTAAATCTGATCTTCTAAAAACAATTTTCAGAAGAATTTTAAAGACTAGGCCTTTTGCTTTGTTTGGCAGTCGTGAAATAAACCACAGCAGTTTTTTAAAACACACCTTTAATTTAAGCTATCATGTGAAATATGGCTTTATTGGCACACTTCTTGGTGAGTGTCTTAGTTCTAATATCAGAATATGTTTTATCAAAGGCCCCTTTCTCAGTAGTGTCCATTTATTGTTGGAGTTACTTGGGACCAGGGAGATCATAAATTATTTGATTGCTAAACAACGTAGTGCAGGCTTCTTCCTGCCTCAGTTTTCTCATATTCTTCTACTTGGCGTAATGATTTCGAGAGTATTTGAGTTCTAAACCAATATAGGAATGAAAGAAGTAAAAGGATTTATGGGGAAGGGGGTGGTTTTGTCACGATTTCCTTAAAAATTTAAAACGCTTCTAAGTTTGGATTGTTACCCAGTTCTTATGCAAACACCAATCAGCAGTAAATTCCTTCCCAGATAGTTTGCTATTTATACTTTTATTATGATACAGGAAGAATTAAATGTGTAAAGTTCACCAAAGGGTTTCCATTGAATAAGTTCCCGATATTTTTTAAAAAAGCACCAGTGAGGGTTGTGGCAGTAGCGAGCACTAACCTTTTACATAGTGTATGTTTGTTTTGATATAAACAGCAATAAGTAAGCTACAGGCTTAACCAGAAAAACAGGACCAGGAACAAGGCAAGGTGTTGTACAATCTTGTGACCTCAGGTGACAGAGTTGTCTTCTGGGTACACGTTGGCTTCGGCGTTCCCATGGAGCGTACTTTGGTTATGAATTGGAAGCCCACTTTGTGCTTGGATTGCATGGGTCTACCCACCTAAAGGGTAAAATCATGTCTTAACTCACTTGTTTCTTCAGGCACCCAGCTGTGATTGTACCCAAAACTGTAGATTTAAGTAGCAAATTTAAAATCACCCAGGCTTGTTGGAGAATTGCAGTAGAATTAGAGAGGACAAAAAAATCTGAGAGGGAGATGATAACGTGTGTTAAACACAGCAGCTCTTGGACAACTGATGCATGGAATCATACAAGATCCTTGCATTTGTGAATTTGTTTTGAGGAGAACGAATGCTTTTCTGCTGGAGAAATGCTGTATTTTTACAATGGTGTTGTAAACCCAAAGATGAGCCCATCAATAGCATCTGGCTTGTCAAGTTACCTAATTGGGACACAACACAGCTGTGAATTTTACTTGCTCCCATCTCCATCCTCCTCCTGTAACTACCAACAGGCCACATATTGCATCACCTGAAAACAAGTATCTGCTTGTTCTGTCTCTCATAGCTATTGCTTTCCTCCAGGAGAAGCAGCATTAAGTGTTGTGTTCTGATGTTTCTGTGAGTAAGTTTCAGATTGTCACCTGAAGAGTGAGGATTCTGCTATGGATTCTGTGAAAGGTGGTTAGGAGAAGAAAGTTCCAAGTTATCATTCAGGGGATCCTCTGATTCTTGTTGTATGAATGGGTCTGCACATCTCATGGAAGTGTTTAGATTGAAACTGCTAGTCCCTTTTTTTTTGTTTTCCTCATCTTAAGACTGGTTTTTCACAAACAGTAAGTCTGTATTGAACCAGCCCTTCAGGATTTATCTTTAATAAATAGCTGTTGTGTCTGCACACACAGAGATAACAGATTATAGATGTATTAAGAAAACTGAAGTGGTTCATAGCTTAATACGTGCATCCAGATTTGTCAGCTGACGTGCCCATGGCTGATACGATGAAAAAACATTATTCTTACTCTAATAGCCTTAACATAGGCATTTCCTGAGTTGTTCTGTTTAACCAAACCCTCTGATAAAAACTAGTACATTAATTTTCTAATGGAAAGAAGCCTCTGCATTATTATATCTGGCAGTTTTGCATGCTGTTTGGTTGACTTGGCAGGAAGCGGGCTGAATTAGTACCTTTATACTTTGTTTGGAGAAAGATCTATGGGAAGATTTAATTGTACTTTCTTGGAATTCATATTGCCTTACTTAATGAGGGACCTTGATCTTGAGAACAGCAGCCTCAGTAAGGCCTAAAAATGAAGGAAATAAATAAATATGAGAGGATACAGCAATCCACTTTGTGGTGTTCATAATTCTGTCTTTATCCTGGACTGTTTCCACCCCTTCTCCTCCACCCTGAAAACGTAAGCATCCTGTAGTGGCAGGTAATTTGCATTCTTTTGCCAGGAGTAATCTAAGAACAGTTTCCATTGAGTACAATGTGTAATGTTTGTGAAATCATTGATGAAACTTCCACGGACTTTTCCGTTGCCAAAATTTCACTCCTTATTACAGTGATGTGCTAGGAAACTGATCTTTAATTTTTCCCCGAGGCCTTAGTAGTATAGGACATTCATGCTTCTCCTGCAGCCTGTTTAGCCACGTCAGTAAAGACACTCATCATTACTGGGAACAAGATCCCTGCCAGCTTTCAAACTTGACCTTTTTCTGTAGTCCTGCTCTGGCTGACCACCTGTACGTGCTGTCACTCTGCTGATGCTGTAGGAGCCAAAATGCGTTTGTTCGGAATTGGAGGGGCAGGGTGGGGGATTTTGTACATTGTGAGACCTGGAAAGTTTCACACCAAATAATTGATCTTTGGATTACAACACAGTTTAAAGAACACTGTGTAATGAGCGCTGTCTCTAGCGGGCATGTTCTCATCTGTGTATTTGTTTTCTTTCAGGTCTAAAAGCGTGACCAGTTCCAGCAGCAGTAGCAGTGCCAGTTCAGCTAGCGATTCCTCATCCGACAGTGAAGATTCTTCTACCTCTTCTTCCGATGATGACAGTGACAGTGATGAGAGCTCCTCCACTTCCTCATCTTCTCCATCCTCAAGTAGCACTTCCTCTTCTTCAGAGTTCGAATCGGATTCCAGTTCCTCCAGCAGTAGCAGCAGCAGCACAGACAGTAGTTCTGACGACGAGCCACCAAAGAAAAAGAAGAAGAAATAGTGTGGTGCAGGGCAGAACTGTTGTTCGGTGAATGATAACGCTCTTCAAACACGTTCTGAGCGCACGGTTGCCAAACAGTTTAACTGGTCAACGTTTCTACTGCTAAAACTTTCTAAGTGTTTTGCATAGTTGTTCATTGGACATGAGAGGTGTTAAATGGCACGTGAGACTTACTGAAAGAGTATTTTTGTGGTTTATCCTTTTATGGAAAATTTTACTTTTTTAGTTGAAAAATCTATCATCAGATTTGTTTATATGAGCTAAGGTCCAGTAACCTGGATGTTTACATGCTGGAAAGCAAAGAAAGCTTTTTATTGCAGATCATGCTGCGCATCATACGCTACTGCTCTGTTTATGACAGCTTCACTTACATTTAGAAAACCCTCTAAGCGATAGAAGCGAAGGTTTTACACTGCTGGCTGTAGAGCACTGGCATTGTTGAAACTGAATGCACAACGTTGCATGCAGAGGGCCTTCCATCTCCCTGTTAACAACTGTATTATATGCTGCTGAGCTGCTTTTTTTTTTTCCCCTGATGACTTTTCCTGATGCTTCCAGGTTGAGTCTTAACTGCAACATGAAACTTTAAATAGTGTTCATTTGTTACTGGTGAATTTACTACTTGTACTGTTCAGAGGCTTTTGTCTTTTCAACTCTCCTGTTTCTGTAGCTCCCGTATTTGTTGTATTTCCTGAGACACGGTGTCTCTGGCAGCAGTGGCTGTGAGAAAGGAGCAGTGCACAGTGGAAGGATTATGGCTGATGCTGCTTAGGAGTTTCATCTTTGTGCCTTTTTTTGTAAATTAAATGTATCCTAGTGAGAGAAGGGCTTGAGTGGGTGTTTTTCAGAACTCCATTGGCTTTCCATACAGAATATGGTCAGTAAAACCAGAGAAATAGTGGTAACAACCAGAAATGGGCACTGTTTTCAAGGAGAGATGAAAAAGCTTTTTTTTCCTTGGATGCTCAGTGAGGAAAGGAGTCGCCTTTAAACAAAGGTCCCAAAGGAAAGTGTTTCCCTTTTGATATTTTTGCAAAAAAAGTTGTGTAATGTGAGATTACGGATCCATGTTGTTGGGCACGCGGTGACTGGCATTATGGTCTGCAGTATAACCAGTCTGTTATTTTGATGTAACAGTGTGTATGTGTCCGTGAAAATCTGCCGTGGGAGAAGCAAGGTACTGCAAAAAAAACCCCAAAAAACCCCAACAAAAGCAAAATCCAGACATACTGCAGAACAATGGTTGCTGGTTGCGAGGTGCAAGTTATTTGTTCTTTTGGTGAATTGAAGCGGTTGGCGTTAGTATTTGATTTTGTGATGCGGTCTCCCAGATTTGTTGTTGTTGGAGTACCCTTTTTTTTGGGGAGGAGCATCACATGTGGAAGAATTCTTAATTGGTTTAGGTAAAATATAGTAACTAAACTATTTTTTATATTTTTACGGAAAAAGTAGTGTGTAGAATTACTTTTGAATACACTGTGCTTATTTAAATGTTTGAAAAATATGTATGTTGTGTGTGTTAGTCTGTACTCATTACTGTTTTAACAGAACACTCTGCAGACTGTAAATAAAGTTACCAGAAAATTGTTTAAGTCTTCTCGAGTGAATGTACCTTTTAATGGAGAAAGCTAATAAATTATTAAGCAGTAGCTGCTAAGTTCACGCTTACTGCAAATCCAGGTGTAAGTGATATGTGTAAGCTCTTTGGAATATAGGAATTTTTATAGTGCGGGGTTTAGGGCCATCTCAAGAGCTCCAGCAAGCTGTGGGTGATGACTGAAGCCAGTCGTTAACTTGAGGGGTCAGTCTCTTCTGACATCGCTTTGTTTGGTGTCTGTGGTCGGACAAATTGGGTCCCTTGGCAAAGACAAAAGGAAACGCTCGTGTGTGTCAGGTCCTCGTCAGCAGGAGCCAGGATAAGGTAACGTAATTACAGATTGTACTAAGGAGACCTTACCTTAATTTCTGGTGCACTGTTGGCTCCTGAGTGGAGATCCAAAGCAATGGTGTACTGCTTTCACTGATACGTCCAAGTGCTGATTACGTCCAACACCAACCATAAGTCCCTCTATACTCACATTTCATTAAAAAGTTAATTTTAAGTACCCTATTGGATTTATTTTTAAATTGCCTCTTTTTGTTAAATTTGTCTCTACATCTTATTTTACAGAGTAAAACCCAGCAGCCTGTCCAGAGCCTTGTCAGTTCATCTCTCACTCGATCTCATCCTGGTATCTCACTGGACGCTTTGATTCAAACCTTTGTTTTCAACAGGAAAGGTATCTCTTTGGTTACTGTCTTCCAAAGCTCTAGGTTAGGTATAAAACACCATTTTTATTTTTTAAAAACCCACTAACTAGAAATTGCTGTATTTACTAAGCAGTTACATGAGAGCAGTGTAGCTCTGAAGAGCTTGGATTTAATCCTTTCAATTACTGGTGGAGCTGCTGTTGCTAATTGAAGGGAAGAAATTGATGCAGTCGGGTAGAAAAACAGCCTCGGGAAAAGGGATCCCATTTCAAGGAGAAACTGCAAAGTGAGCTGGAGAAGGGAGAGACAACCTGCTCTGCTAGTCCAGGCCTTCATTACATCGAACATCTCAGTCAGGAACAGGTTTTTGGGTGACCTCAATGAAATTGCATTATCATCTGTGGATTGATGGATTGATTTCTTTTTTAAGGGAGGAGTCCTTAATAAATACGACTTTTGCTATCAAATGGAGTTGCTCTATAATGCAATGATTCAACATCGCTTAACCCTGTGGGTTTAGTCTGCTTTATGAAGTTTTATTTACCCAAGCTCTGCCTTTCACCTGATGCTGAGACATCAGTGGTGCCTGAGGCAGAGCTTCACAGCCCGGTTTTAACAAAGACGTGAAAGGGACGTTAATGCAAAATATCCCAGAGTACAAGTTGGACTTTTGAGAGTTGGTTTACCAAAAATGTCACTGGCAGAACATAATTTTAAAAACATCATTGAGACGTGAGAGGAACTGCGTATTTGTGTGATTTTCTGTTCCTTTGTGTTATTTACAGCCTTATTTTCCCAAAGAAGCTGCCTGCGCCTTCCCCGCCCACAGAAGGATGGAAGTTATGGGTGCAGTTAATTTTCAGGTAGGTTGGGGTTCCACTCTCTTTGATCACGGTTTTTTGTGGTGTGTGTCGTATTTCACTGTTAAAACAAACTTCAGATTTTACTGCCAATTAAAATAGTTACAAACTGCCTGAGATTGGCTCTAGATTTAAAACTTACTGTGTCTTCCTGTAGCATTTCTGTACAACATGTCTCTGCAATCAAAGACTATTTTTAAAATAAGATTTAGATTTTGGAGTTTGTTACACTTATACAAAAAGGGGGGGAGGGTTTACCATTCTGCTGCACTTGACTTGCACATCTCAAACAAATAATAAAGCATTACGTTCACAAATACGAACCCAAGATAGATCTAAGTTCCAGTACATTTCAGAATCAGTTTATGTGGAAAAAGTGGGGGTTTTTTTGTTTAAATTAATGTTTTGTATAATATAGTTGTATGTTGTTGTTCATAAATAACTTTCTGGAGATGTTTAAAGCCAATTTTGGAAGTTTTGGTAGCATTGCCACTGTAATGGCACTGTCTGTGTGGGGTCTCCCATGAAGTGACAGGTGCTTCCCTGGTCCCTCAGAGCTGTGAGTGCTGCCCAGCTGTGCTCTCATCTGCCAATTTGGACCCAAAACGAGGAGCACAGTGCTCCGCTGGGGTGAAAAACTGAATTATAAACCCGAGTCACACAAAAGAGCAGTTCAGGGATGTTCTGTGGCGCAGTGGAAGCTGAGGGCTGCCGTTGGGTGTGGCTGGAGCTCTGGGAGGGCATTAGGAGATGGGAACTGCTCTGAAAAAGATTGAGAAAAGCTGAATTTGTAGTTGTTTCTGTGAACGGGCTTGGGAATATTCGTAGGTAATTATTGATGATGTTCTGGTTAATTAATTAATGAATTAAAAGTACCCAACCGTCCCTTGAAATGGGGCAGAAGCGTCGGTTAACGAAAACCGGGCGGTTCGCTCTTCGGGAGTGCAACGTTTGCCCCTTTGCGGTATTTAACGCACCGGAACCGGCGCCGAGGGCACGCGCACCCGGCG